CTTGTATAATTTAAAGTTTTAATCTTGCAAATTAATAGTAATAATATTTAAAATATCTTTTTTTTAAAAAAAATAATTTTATTTTAGTTTTTTCAGTAAAGTAATGCTTTATTTATTATTAAATTAAAGTATAATAGAATAATTAAAATAGCATAAAAAGTTAATTTAAATCATTATTTATTTAATATAAAAAATTATAAAGATTAATTAAAATTTGAATAATTTTTATTAGAAGTAATTATTAATTTTATATTAATATACAAATCTTTTTGCATTAATTCATATATCTTTTTATAATTATATTTTTTTATAATTATATTTTTTAAATTTTTCAGTTATTAAATTAATTATAATAAAAAAATCTCTTTATAATTATTTAATTTTACTTTTTAAATATAATAATTATAAAAAATTCAAATATATATTTATTAAAGAATCATAATTGATTATTTTATTAATTATTATAATTTCAAAAAAGAACTATTTATATATAACTATAATAAATTACTTTATATAATTAATTCTTTATTTTTTCAATAATTTGAATAGTAATATTATTTTTTATTTTTTAATACAAATTATTTATTATCATTTATAAATTCTTCAATCATATAATTATAATATTAAATTTAGCAAGTTATATATAAAATATAATTAAAATATTTTATTCTTTATAAATTGATAATTTATTTGATTTTATTATTTCAATAATTACTAATATCATCAATATTAATACAATTCTCATTTATTTTAATTTTATTTTGAAAAGCAAATAGTGATTTTTTTCTTTTGTTAACAAGTATAGATAATGAGTATTAGAAATAATAAGGAAGTAGAAAGATAGAAAGAGGCAAAAAATACATCAATAAAATATAAATAATATATAACAGAATCAGTAATCTTATACATGTATAATAAGATACGCTTAAATTATACCGATGTTTTTCTCAAATCCTAGCTCCTGATATTTTATATTTTAAGAGTAAGTATGTTTCACAAGTGTTTCATTATAAAAATTTTAGAAACATTCGTGGGAACATTTATCAATAAAAAATTGATCCCACACTATATGATATAGCAATAAAAATTATTTAACTACATATACTATTCAGCTATGATATAGAGGCAATCAATCACGATTATGTTCCAAACGCCGCCGTGTAATAATGATATAATATGCTTTTATTGTTGGTCATCGTTGTTAGTGAAAAAAAATCATACGCCAAATCGCGCAAATGACATCACGATGATTTTCGCAAAGCCTCACGTTATATCTATATAATAAGGCAATATTCGATACCTGAAAAAATTTTTTAACCTTTCATCTACTACTATCACTTAACAACAAAAATGACTAGCCCCAAAGGTGAAATTAAAGTAAAGAATATTATCATTATCAGGACTATGCTCGTTTTCTTGGCTCAATTTCATTTTCTAATTGGCTAATTTTTTAATAAAATAGATTTTTATCGTGCGAAAGTAAAATAAAGAAGTGCTGGGTCTTATACATAAAGATCTTCGAGAGATGGTAAACTTTGATCCTGGATTTGACGTGATAAGAAAAAAGAAAATACTTGATAACAGAAAAGTATGCGTGCTGGTAGAATAGAATGAGTGGACTAAGAGCTCTGTCTGAAATTGTTGAACTGTCTGAACAGTGAGAACTAGAAGTTCGTTTGTCTGAACAGTGATGAACTAGAAGTTCGACACTTAGCGCAACCTGGGACTAGAAGTCTCCAGTGATGAACTAGAAGTTCGACGCTTAGTGCAAGCTGGGACTAAAAGTCTTACAAGGACCAAGGACGGACGGGCCTTAGTTCAATGCTTCTTTTTTATTCTATATTGTTATTGTCAAATGTTTCTAAATTTACACTAATTATTCTTTGTTTTGTCAAAAGCTGGACTGCATCAGCGAAGAACTTTAGAGAAGAGTGCACGAGTAGTCGATCGATGCCGGTAAAAGCGGATAAACCAACTTTCAACTAGAGATGGCAAATGATGACGATGAAAAAAAGATGAATACCGAAAATTCCTCTCAAGATGAAGTTGACGAAAGCTTAAAGTTTGTACTGCGGCCTGATGATGATTCTCAAAAAGTAACAGAATCAATGATCGGGAAAGTTGAGAGAACAACACTGATTGTAGACGATGTCGATTTGGATTTGGAGAAAACTTTTGAAGATTATCATAATGAGTATGTGAACATTCTTGAGTGCTTTTCTGATTTATATGAAAAAAAAACAGATAGTCTTATTAATGTTATCACCTTTTATTAGCTTGTGTCATAGTGATATAATGGACCTTAGGCCTGGCTCAAAATTTACGAAAAAGTCTCTGAAACAATCTAGGAAAAATTTATATCGAATACATATCCCGAATAAACATTACCTAAAGAATGGCAAAATTTGGAAAAAAGTAGTTTGATTAATTTCTATTATTCATTGGTGGCAAGCAGCAAAAAAGTTCTTTATTAGAATGGATGAAAGCCTGGCGTGAGCTTCGTGTGATTTCTGGTGAAAACGAAGGCAATGAAGACCTTGTGATAAAGGAAATGATATATAATATTCTTGCACCATAGTATGTTAAGACTATCTGTTTTTTTCATATCAATCAGAAAAGTACTCAAGAATGTTCACATACTCATTATGATAATCTTCAAAAGTTTTCTCCAAATCCAAATCAACATCGTCTACAATCAGTGCTGTTCTCTCAACTTTTCCGATCATTGATTCTGCTAATTTTTGAGAATCATCAGGTCGCAGTACAAACTTTAAGCTTTCGTCGTCAACTTCATCTTGAGAGGAATTTTCGGTATTCATCTTTTTTTCATCGTCATCATTTGCATCTCGACGATCCGAAGTTTTGTGAGATTGTCGTTATTTATTGCACCATCTCTAGTTGAAAGTTGGTTTATTCGCTTTACCAGCAGACGATCGACTATGACTCGTGCACGCTCTTCTCTAAAGTTCTTCGCTGATGCAGTCCAGCTCAAAGAATAATTAGTGTAATTTTAGAAACATTTGACAATAACAATATTGAGTAAAAAAGAGCATTGGACTAAGGCCCGTCCGTCCTTGGTCCTTGTAAGACTTTTAGTCCCAGCTTGCACTAAGCGTCGAACTTCTGGTTCATCACTGGAGATATTTCATTCATTTCAAGATCTGCAGTCATAAAAAATCTTAGTTCGTTATAATAGCTTTCATCACATTTTATAACATCCCGGAAATTCTACTACTCCATGGCGCATGAAATCTTCTTTGAACGACCTTTCTTCCGAAGATAATTTGATTTTTGTTGGAATGTCTAATGTTATCAGCCTTTGAACAGAATACCACTCGAAAGGAGATCATCTGGTTTTAGATTCACCTTCTGAATGTTTTTGCAAATTACTTTCACTATGTCGGGCATTTGGTTTAGAACTATTATAAAATAAAATATCATAAACTTGTTAAAAATCTGAATATTAAATTTGAAGAAAGTACCATACACTTACTGAATTAATTTTTCACCTACATAGTTTGCATTATCAATTTCTTCTTTTCCTTCATCATCATCATTGTTTTCACTGTTCATGTCATAAAAATGACGCATTTTTCTCTTCAGCGCTTTCCTCAATAATTTGTTGATAAAGAATATATTGCTTCTTAATATAAAAACTTTTAATTAAGTGATAGAAAGCTTTTGACATGGATTCTTTAAAGGATATAATAATTTCAGAAATTTCTTGGAATTTGCTGCTGTTTAACCATAATTCTTTTTATGTCCCAACTCAAGCACTATCAAAAATAGAATAAATCTACCTGACAGTATATCGATATTTGCATTTATATAATTAGTTATAATGAAAGCTTAAAATTACTTGAAAAGCTTATTTTGTTCGATTCAACTGAACACTGCAAAATACCGAAGGTGCACCAATTTTCAAGTTGGGCGTCTGAAATGGATTGATTTTTCGAACGCTTTGATACATTGGATCAGTTGATACAGATACCGTAAAACATCAAATACTAAAACATCAAATAATAAATCAACTTTAAAATGCTAATTAAATAAAGACACTCAAATTTGCTTATATTGTTATTATTATTCTTTACATCTGAATTGCATACGCCTATAAATGTTTTTAGATGGTTTTAGTCTTGAGGTTCTAGTAAACTCTTCAACGCTCCAAGAATATCGCGAGCCAGTTTATAATTACAAAGTTTGTCCTTTCAAAAAAAAAAACTTATTTTTCTATTTTATTCCTTAATATTCTATCTTTTTGAAATTCTAAATAGGTGTATTTGATTATTAATCTTCTACAGATTCCTCATATGTGCATCTATCGAAGAAGTTCGAAAGATGAAATTATTATTTTTTTCGATTATCTAATAAATTAATAATAAACAAATAGCCCTGATAATATTTTTGTTGCTGTGCCTGAAATAGAATCTCGTTATTCGTTGAGATTCGGCGCAACCATCGCAACGCTTTACAAACCCGATTCTCGTCGAGACCTTTGTGGACGGAAATCACGATTTCCTCTATTATTGTTTAGTTGCTCCAGCTCAAACAGAAAGCGATGGATTTTGGAATGTAACTCGCGACAAAAAAGCTTACTTCAAATTCTCGAAAGCTCTGTGGACCAATGACGAAATTGATACAAATAATCTTCCGAGAAAAGGTGGGGATTGGTACGATCACATTGTTCTTCTATCTTGTTAGACGTACCAAAATCAAGAATGCTGCCCCTTTCAAGTTCACTTTGGAAAAAGTCGCCATAACCGAGTCCAAAGAAAATAAAGGAATCGAATTTTCTACCGAATTTAAAGAGAGATCAGAATCACCACCTCCATATATTAAAAAGTGTATAATGAAACCTGCTGATAATAGTCCCATTGCTGTACTGAATATTCATTATTGTCCGATGAGTTAGCTAATTTCTCGTGAAATAATTGAGCCTGGAATTTATCCTAATATTTTTACTGAAAATGTCGAGTTTAAGATTTTCGAACATTACCATTAACAAAGAAAGACGATACTGTGAGTGATGTAAAATTAGAGGAAGACGTTGTATTTGTCAAGAATTCAAATAGTGAATCGTCGTCGTCGTCATTAGTCATACAACATTAAAAAGGAGGAAATTCAAAGTTCCAGAAAAAACGCAAAGATTCGCACGTGATTATAGATTTGACAGTTCCGTAAAACAAAAATATCATCATTTCGATATTGGATTCGGACGATGAATATTTACAATTAGCCATACTCATTATAGCTTAAATAAAAAATAATCTCATTGTAAATACGCTCATTTTCCCAAATTTGAGGAAGATTCCAATGATACTAAACCATAATAATAATCTAAAAAATTTCTTTTCGAAATCGTTTTCAGTAACGTATTTTTTGTATTTGCAAAGACTAATAACCGTTGAAATTTGTCGTCCAACAAATTTTCCTTTTCGCAATTTATTTCGATAATACGACCAAATCTCAAATGGCCACGTGAATTATTTTGCTTTTTTTGTTGGATTATTAAACAGTAAAGCCTTAAATAATCGTAACAGTTGCACCGCTGCAATTACATTATTTTCGTCGATAGATAATATTACGAGACATCAAATTTAGAATTGAGCCCACCAGTTCTTTGACGATAATGCGAAACTTTTGTTTGATACACAAAACTTAGTTCATATTCGCTTGGATCAAATGAGAAGGATTCTATGCAAGTATTATCCTCCAAAACACGTCGTAAGTTGACTAAATTATTAATTTCTATTTTGGATTTATTCCCACCCTGAAGTTTATCATTAAATTTTTAATGTTCGTTTCGTTTTTAATGCCTTTGTCATCGCGCTGACTACTTTTGGGGTGATTTCATTTTAGGAAATGTCTAATCTTAATATTTTTGTGTTTATTGCTAATGCTTCACCAAGTTTTATCAACGATACTTTTGTGAATTTATAATTTGTAATTTTTAGATGGGTAATGTTCAATTTGTTTTCCGAAGCTAAACGCAATATCTCATTATGTTTCGCGTCCAGACATGATCTTGCATCGTCTATGTTATCTGTAATTTTTTTTCGTTGCAAAAAGCAATTTCGTCGAATTTTCGTGTTGTATGTTGATTTAGTGCGTCTACTAGTTCCTTTGTATCGTATCGTCGACTGCGTTAAGTTCAAAGTCTTGTAATGTGGTTTCTTGGCATTCGATTGATTCGTGAATGTTTTGCCACAAATAACACAACATGATGGTAAAGTCCAGTAATATCTTTAAAAAATAACAATTTGTAAATACTAGAAATACATCAAATTATTCCATTTCAAGAAATAGACAGTTTACCTTGTTAAATCAATAGATTCATCCTCGTTTTTCTCTAAAGAAACAAATAAATTTTCACGATGTCTCATCATAAAGTATAGCAACGTCTCTTACAACACGGTGTTTTTATTAGCAACGTCCGCATAGTGTCTTGCGTTGACCTCAAATCCTTCATATAGGCTTCTATTCGACGATTTGATAATGTATTTAACGGCGCATTATCGTATGAATTGTAGATTGTCGGTTCTATTTTTTGTTTAGTTACAAAGAAAATATGAATGATTTGGTCGAATATGAATTCTAAGTTATTATATGAAAAATCATTTACCAGGATCAAATCGTTCAAACTTATTCAGCTGTTCTGGTTCTGCGAAAAAATCACACAAAACTTCGTCAGGAATATCCACTTCTGTTGTGGTAGATGTATACTTCTGCTATTTTCATATTTAATTTTTTTGTTTTCTTATTATAGAATTTGAAGTATTTTATTTGTTTTTCAATTAATCTCATCAAAGAATTTCTATTCTTATAAGAATGCTGAGAACACGAATTTCTAACACTAGTTAAGAGATAACATATAACTATTGAGAAGTATGATCCATATTTTGTTTTTTTGCGACAGTACTTATATTGCTGTCATAAAACAAGTTTTCTATAATTATATTTAGTGAGCTGCAATAGGTAAAGATTATTCTGAAAATATGTCTATATTTACAGTTTTCAGCCAAAGTAATAATAGTAAAAGATGTTTTTTATAAATTTTCTAAAAACAAATGCAAAAGCTTACTTTATACTATTAATAAAATATTCTTATTAGTCAATTTTTATATACAGTACTTACTTATTATTATAATATTTTATTAATAAGATCAATTTGTGATATTTATGTTTTAACTTTATATGTTAATTTTAAATAGATTATAATTTTATAATAGCTATCTTAAAATATATAATAATTTTTAATATTTTTAGTTTTTTGAAAATTCAAAATCTGAAAATATCTTTTTTTATTAATTAATTATTAAAATATTGATTTAAATCAAATATCAAATTTCTTAATTTTATATATTATATTTAATTATTATTATAAATATAATAAATAATGATAGATATTATAATTATTATAATATGATGATACTTTATTTATATAAAATTATTTATTAATATAATTCAGTGCAAAAGATTGATATATCAATATAAAATTAATAATTACTTCTAATAAAAATTATTCAAATTTTAATTAATCTTTATAATTTTTTATACTAAATAAAAAATAATCTAAATTAATTTTTTATACTATTTTAATTATTCTATTATACTTTAATTTAATAATAAATAAAGTATTACTTTACTAAAAAATCTAAAATAAATTTATTTTTTTAAAAAAAAAGATATTTTAAATATTATCTCTATCAATTTATAAGATTAGAACTTTAAATTATACAAGTAAATTATTCTAGATTTGATAAATATATATTTTAAATTTATAAAAATTAAATTTATGAAAATATTAAGATTCAAAATTTAATAATTAAATTCTTTATTATATAATTTTTATATAATTTTAATTAAATTTTATATAGTAAAATTTAAGAAATAATTAATTCAAAAAAGTTTATATTAATAAAAATTTTTTTATAAAAGATATATAATAAAAATTTTTATATTAAATAAATTCTAATATCTAATAACTTAATTAAATAAAACAGAATTGAAATTTTATTTTAAAAAAATAATTTATTAATATTTATCTGATATACTAATCTTTTTATACTAGATTATAGTTATAAATAAAATAAAATATAAAGTAAATAATTCTAATTTATAAAATTTAGATCTAAAATAAAAATATAGAATAAAAAGAATTTATTTATAAAAAAATAAATATAAATATAAATAAATTAATAAATAAAATATATATGAATTATACATAATTAATTAACTTAATTCATATCTTTAAAAAGTAACTAATTATAATCTAATAACTAATAATAATTATAAATATGATAAGTAATAATATAAATAATAATAAGAAAGAATAAATAAAAATATAAAGAAATAATTATAAATATAACTAATTAAAAATATTATTAATCTAAATTTGAAATTATGAAATACATAATAATTATTTATATAATAATATATATAAATCTAATTAATTTAATATATAATAATTATTTATATATTCAAAATAAAATTAATTTTTAAGAAATATAATATAAAAGATAAACTATAATATAAATAATAAAATAAAAATCTAAGACTAAAAAAATATAATTCAATTAAAATTATTATATATTTCTTTACTTAAAATATAATATTTTTATTAAATTTAAATATATAAATTTTTAAAGACTTTATTTTTTTTATAATATTTTTCAAGTTTTCTAAAGATTTTAAGTAATATTATAAAAAATTATTTAACAAGATATTAAAATTTATAATAATAAATTCTTTTTTAAGAATATTTTTAACTTCATATTCTTCTTTATTATCTGAGATAATAATAATTAGTAATGATATATATCTATTAAATTCATTATTTAAGTTATATTTCTTTAATAATAAAATATTAAATATTAAATATAATTTTATATTGATTAATAATTATAATTTATAAATAATAAAAGATATTTTATTAATAATTTTAAAGAGTTTAATAAATTTTGATATAAATTTCTTGATTATTTTTTATTTATCTATAAAATTATCTATATTATAAATAAAGAAAAGAATTTAATCTTTATATTGAATTTTTTATATATTTTTATATTAATTTATATATTTTAACTATTTATTTTATACTTTTATTAGTAAATCTTTTGTAATTTTATTATAATATTTTAATATTTCATAAATTTTTGAGAGATTATAATATTATCTTATAATAAGAAAATATTAATTAGAGTATAAAATAATTATTTATAATTTAATTTAAATAATATATATTTAGTAAAAGTATTTTATTATTATTATAAACAAATTTAATTGCTATTAAATTTTTATTTTATTAATCTTATCCATATATTATATAAATTTTAAGTATTTTTTTAAGAATTATATTAAGTTTTTCTATTTAACTATCTAATTTTGAATAATATATTATTAATATTATTAATTTAATTTTAAGTTATTTAAAAAATAACTTTCAAAATCTACTTGTAAACTTAGTATTTTTATCTAAAATTATTATTAAAAATAAGTCATATAATTTAAATATATTCTTAAAAAATATTTTTATAATATTAGATATTATTATTATTATTATTATTATTAATATAAAATATACTTTTTTGATAGTTTATTAATAAAAATTACTATTATATTCTATTTAAATTTGAATAATAAATAATTAAATTATAAAGTTCATAATAATTTATTTTTATTTATATTCTGAAATAATAAATAATTAAAGTAATTCAGAAAATTATTAATTATTACTTTTATTATATTAATAAGATAAATAACTGATAATATATTTATAAATATTTTTATTTATTTTTAACTAGTAGAATTATTAAGATATAGTAATATATATCTTATCTATTTTAATATATTTTATAATTAATATATTATTACAAACTATATTCTGAAAGATAAGTTTTATTACAAATATAATTTATAATAAGTTATGAGAGTGAAGACTGAATTATTTATAAAGATTAAGGAGATAATGATTATTCTAAAGATTTTCTAGTACCAATACTTATAAGTATTATATTAATACAAGATAAAAATAAAATATAATAAATATATATATAAAAATAAAATTGTGATCATGAATACTAAACTAAAAGTTAGTATCAAAAACAAAA